CGGAGTCTTTTAATCTATAAAGTTCTTCTAAATGACTTGTTTCTGATTCGGAGAAAGCGTTTCCTTGTTTTGAAATTTTTTTTCGCGTAATATGTCTTTGTTTGCTTAAAATTTTTCGTTTGATTGTTTGTTGTTTTGTTCTAATATATCCTATTGACTGTATGTGTGGAGTGATTACGAGGTCATATTTTTCGTTGTTTATTTCACAGTTGTGTAATATGATTGTTTCTTTATTTCCTAAATTGTCTAGTGACATAAGGTTTAGGATGACGGATGCAATATTTGGATTAGTGATTTTTAATGCTTAAACTGTTAGTTCTTACAATTTTTTCGGGTTAGCCTAACTTGGGTCTTGTATTCAGGGTTGTAGAGAAAAGTATATATCGATTCCGGAGAACGATTGTTACTTTCTCGTGGCTAGTCTAAGTTAAGGTGTTAACTTATTTATCCTTACTTAGGGGTAGTGATTGCGTTCAAGGGTTGGATAATAGTAAATCGATCCACAAGGTTCAGGTATAATTAGAACACAAGTAGTTCGTTAGTTACTATTTTAAACTTACTAAGTTTAAGTGTTATCCTAGGTCAGGTAAGAAGGGGGGGGGTCAAGTGAAGAATGAATAAAGTTCTTCACTGTTTATCCTAATTAGAATGGTTTGTGTGATTGAAAAACTTCTATTAGTTTTGAGTCTTGAGAAAAGATTAGATAGTGAATCGACGTTTGAGGTTGTTAGACACTTTGTTAATTGTGAGGGGGAGGACAAAATTGTTCTATTTGATCCAAGGATAAGCCTTGATGATCAGAATATAAAATTAATGAACTTAAACTTAATTCAGGTCAACAATTTAAAGATCCAAGGGAAACATTGATGATCTGTTAAGTTTAAAAAAGCTTAATTTAGGTAAAAGTAAAAATTAGGATAGGCCTTTAGAAATAATTTAAAGTTTAATTGATAGAAAAGTTTAGTTTTTGATGATGATAGTGGTTTTATGATTTGCTGTTATGTTTTAGGTGATGAAGCAGAGATGAAGAGATGATTTATTTATTACTAACAATTTGTGTATTTACTAACCTACATTTTATTTTCTATATTCAATAAACATTTTTTGTAGATATCTTTTTCAAATTTACTCCAGATTAAAGGAAACGACTAGGGATGTTTTTTATCAGTCGTTATTGTACAATAAAAAGTTTAGCGCCTGTAATTATTGGTGAAGATTTTTCTTCAAGGATACTATGATTGCAAATGAAAATCTAATTTCATTGGTAATAAAACTCTAAATATAAAAGTTTGTGTTGGCTTTTGCCGTTTGACCATGAAACTTATGGGTAAGTTCCGTTGTAGTCGTATATCGTTTCTTGTCCGAGGTCGTTTTCCAATATCGGTTAGTTCTCGTATTGTTCAGAATAATGGCTCTGATCTAGTGAGTCGTAGAGACATTTCAATCAAATTATTATCGTGTAAGATTTTTGGGAATGTTTGTCTAAAACTAATCTATTTTTGGTTAGTTCTAAGCTATCTTATTCCTTAAGGTCTTATTCGAGACTTATGGTCGCACCAGATGAGTTGGGATTGATGTCCAACTCATAGAGTAATTTCAGATAGGGTACACCGTCTGCTCGTCACGCTATCTTATTTTCGGCCGGATAGATTCGTGCAACTTCTTAGTATAATACCGATCTTAATCTTACGCTTATATCTCTTAGTCTTAATAGATCTAGAGTATACTGGTTTAATACGAGTCGGTCTCTTGGAAAAGGCAACTAAATTGTAAGTTAAATTCAGAATGCTCTGGTGCTGAAATTACAAGTAATTTCAGCACTTGCAAGTAAGTGGGTTGTTAGTTAGATGGAGTGTGATTGGTTAGTCTTTAATATTTTATAGGGATAAAATATCTAATTTATAACCAACAATAACATATAGTTTGGATCAGGTTCCACCACAAATGACCGACCGATGGTCCATTCATGAAAATCACACCAGCATGAGAAAATAATTTAAGAGTCTTAATTTAAACAAATTTTTGACAAATATAGTTAAATTACTATAATAAGCGTTGTTAAGTTTTGCTGCAGGCTCTACAAATGTGCACTTTTTCAGAAGCTCCACAACAGAGATTAGGAAGGGAGGCAGAGAAAGGAATTTGAGCAGAGAAAAATAGACGCAATTTAACTTTCGATGATGAGAAAAACCAAAAAACGTAAATATGAGCTATCATGGTATTTAGAAAAGCATTTTCAACAAAAAAATATAAAAATTGGTAAAGGAAATTCTAACTTTAACTGATTGTTGAGTCGAGACCAATTGTTTCGACGAGATCAGAGATAAACTTTTTTAATCATGAAAAACATTCACTCGGTCGAAATTATTTTTCTTATTGTTATCATGGATCCAAATAAGTGTCGTATTAGAGATTTTGTAATAGGGATGAGAGTAAAAGTTTGTGACGGGGCAAAACTGAAAAATTAAAATTTTGATGACCCTATCTACGTTAGCGCATTAAAATTTTTTACCGTTTTTGGGCTTTTAAAATAAATTTGAACAAAAAAATATACGTTTTTTTCGGCGCGCGCGCTTTTCTAAACTAATATAGAATGAAGCAGAAACCTGTTTCAAAAATATTAGAGTCAATCGGATGAAAATTGATGTCATGGAATATTACGAGAGGGAAACCTTTGAGTGGCAAGAGACTGATTTCTTGAGGGGAGGGCAGCAACTCCGCCTCCTTCATAAATCCGCAACTGAAGCTAAACTTCTCTTAAGCTCTCATTGGATTTTTGGAGCGTTTTCCTTTAAATTTAGTGTATAATGAAATTGAAGACGATTTTCGATAATTTACAAGGTCCGGGATTTAAAAATTTTTGTTCTAAAATGATAGAGTCGAAAATCTTTGCGTACAATTGGAAAACGGAACTAATAAGGAGGCGGCTGCCCCCCACCCCAGTCGTCATCATGCTACTAGCACGAACTTGAAACTTTTGGGGCTAAATTTTTTCCTTTGTATCGTCTGTAATGTAATGTAGTTCCTGTGAATCGCTGTGGTTCTTTTATTAGGCCTTAACTTGAGTCAAATTCGCGCGATTCATTAGTCTAAGATGGAAACTTGGTCATATTTGTGCAACTTTTCTCTCAATAGCAATACATTGCTGATTTAAAATGTTCAGACAAAACGAAAGAAACTTGAAATTAGGAATGCGATTTTCTCCTATTGAGTTAACTTCAGACAAAACCTGATGAGACAAACGTATATAAAGCTTTAGCAGAACTGATATGCAAAATGGGGACCCAAAAATTTTGAATCTTACATCAAAATGAGCTTCTTATGCAGCCCAACAAAGTATAAAAAAGTATAATCTTCTAAGTTTAGCATAAAAAAATTTATTGTTCCAACTTTTCAAGAAAGTGAGAAAATTATGTGGTTAGGGTGGAGGGTGGTTTTTTATTGAGACCACTTCCAAAAGTCTAGTTTTGACTTGGTGTATTGATCCCTGGATCTCTGATACCCCCGACGTGTGCACACACCACACTCGACTCGTTTGATACTTTTTACCCGTGGTGAATCATCTTCCAAAATGAAATGCGGCATGCTCATTGGTCATATTAAAACCACGCACGACTTAAGCTTTGACACTTACAAGGCAATTGATATTAGTGTTTCCAAGCACGACTCAAGTTTTAACAATTAAACCAGACCAGTTAAAAGAAGGTCGAAAAATTTAGGGCTTTGCAGTCTAGTTATCGTTTAATACCCAAGCAAGACCAAATTTACAAAATAAATTACCCGTTTTTATTTGAAAACATTTTTACAACAGTTTGCTCTAATTATTAGGAATTATTTCCTTCTTTAACATTAATTAATTAAATAATAGGTTCCCTTTAACAAAATTTTGTCAGAAAATACGCCGGTTAACTTGAGACCGAAAAAGAAGGAATAAAAAGGGACAAAGCCAAAAGAAGGATAGTTTTTGAGTTAATATTCTTTGAAGAAGTAAGAACTTTGGCGTTCAACCTGTTGCTGAGTTCTTGGAGTAACCTGAATTTTTTTCTTGTCTTCGCCCCATTCGACACACTCAGTGTGTTCGTTGTTATTTCACACAGAGGCATTTTTTTCAATCAAATAACTCAATGAATCAACATTTTCACTACTGCGTGTTGCAATAGACAAAAAGATCGACTCTCTTTAGAAAATCAATCTCTGAAATTCGAATGTCGTGTTCAAATAAAAAAAAGGTAGCCTGTTACTGTGCAAGTATCCCAAAATATTTTGACTATAGTCTTATAAAATACAAAAGAAGTTTTTTCTAAAGCAGAATACAGAAACAAAAAAATGTGGAACATTTAAAAAAAAAATTTTCCAGAACTTTTTTTGAATTTCGAAAAAAAGTTTGAATGTTTTGATTTTCAAAATGAAGCAAACAAACTCCAAAACCAACTTTAATCAAGTGAAACTAAGTTTTCACGGCTTAAATAAAGCATAAATAAGTTATTTTAAGCCCTCTCGCTCGTCTTATTTGCTCGAAGTTAGACCAAAAATCAAAAACTTCAAATAGTTTTTTTCTCCATGCTGAGAAATTTTTTTAAATATGATATATCACTCGACGCTTTCCGATCACGTTTTGTGGTACCTGGTTTTGTGTGTAAAACAAAAAAAGCAAAAAAAAAACTAAAACCCGAACACAAAATTTATTCCCATTTTCAATGGTCGAAACAACAAGCTACCTAAATTCGCTAGCAATCAGATATTGAATCCATAGGATTATTTGAAAATACACAAATAGAGCAAAATTTAGAAAAAAAGTGGTGTGAAGTAACATATATAGAAAAAATCAATTAAACATTAAGTTCAAAACTAATTCAAGGGTACATAACTTCAAATAATCACACAAATACAAAACGCAAATTTAAGTGATATGTAGAAGGATTCAGTTAGTTTTGCTCCTGGGAACCCTGAGACTGTTCTTAATCCAATATATAGCATCGGTATAATCTCTCTTTCGAGTATCTTATTTCGAACCTATTTTGATTACTTTTTGATATATTACGAAGGCGTGATTTCCACTAAAAATCACCAACTGCGTTTTACACAAAATAATTGACAGCACAATGATTTTTTGATAAGGAGAATTTTTTTCGCATCACTGCGGCGAGTCATTGCATTATTCGAAATAGATTTGCTGCTGTATAAAATGGTTGACCTTTAGACAGAACATCAAAAAAGTTTTCTTTCTCCAATTATTTTCGTTGATGAAAGTGTTGGTTTCTGTTTGATTGCTTAGCACAAAATAAGATAATAACAATCATACTGAAGGCTCTGAACGAAACCAATTTTCCGATGCCTCCAGTTCAATTGTTTTCACAGATGCATTTCAGTTGCTTGTCATGATGAATTGTGTTAAAACTTTAGTTAAAGTATGAGCATTCTTGTTGAAGTCTTGAAAACAAATTAGCTATTACTATCAATTTATAGTCGCTGGTGTCTCCGAGTGCATTTTGAGGCACTGAACCGTCTTCATATCAGTTACAACCTCTCTTATGTCTGGATTCAACTGTCTCGCTCCCTCGTAGAACGCCAGTGCATCTGGCCAGGCGTGCTGGGTGGCTCTGATGTTGGCGGTGGTTGCGTAAGTTGCGAACGAGGGGAAAGTGCGCAAGGAGAGGAGACTGAAAAAATGAGCGTCTTCTAAGAAGCCGCTTCTCTGGAGGATATTTGCCAGAGATATCCAGGCCATTGGCTGAAACATGTATGCTGCATAAAGACTCCGGAAAAGAGAACTCGTTTGATATTAACCAATCTTTACATTTAATCCCATATAACAAAAATAACGGTTGAGAACCAAATACCATTTTTGGTTCTCAATTGGCATGCCGTTTCATAAATGACCAAACTGATTATACTGATCAACGAATCCTTCTTTCATTAACTCTTCAAAATGGCTGCCAATGTCAGTAGACAGCTGAATTGTACCTTTGTGTTCATGGGTGAGTAGTAGAGTGCCTGTCTAATACAGTCTATTGCTCGCTTCGAGTCCCCCACAATCCTCCAGTAAGTCACTGCCAAGTTCAACAGCACGAAAGAATCCGCATCCTGAAACATACTCTTAGAAATGGTTCCCCCCTTTTTAACTCTAAACAACTTAACACCCTACAATTTCACTCCCTACTTTTTGTTGCCTTAGCAATATAACATCGCTACATTTTAAAACAATTTCTATGACTTAACACCGTTTTAATCCAAAATGAAAAGAAAACTTACTTCAAAGGGGATTTCGGTAACCATCAAAGAATTAAACGAGAGAAATTTTTGCCATTTAAAGCCAGACAAATTTGCGCTACTTAATTCGCGTAACTTTTGAATAGAAATGACCTTGCAAATGATTTCAATGAAACGTTTCAAACCAAAATGAAATGGCCTTGCCAATATTTTCAATGAATCATTCCAAAATGAACCAAAAACAGGCAATAGTTCAATGAACTTCAAAAGCCCGCAAATAATTAGACGTCCTTTGACTAAAATGGCCTAATTTTCTAGACATTTTCAGCCGGTATAGAAATTTAAAAAAGGTTTAACCAATGCCTAAACACTTAAAATCATTTTTTTAGAATCATTCTCGAACTTAAACTTATGACCTGATCGCTTTGTCAGCTTTTTTTGAACTGTTGGCACATAAACCCAAAGCTAAAGGGTTTGCCAGCCCGTAGTCCCAACCTAGCATCCCGAAAATAATTCAGTAATGGCAGTTGCTCGACATTTATGTGTTTGATATTTTGAGCAAATCCAGTTTTCTGTAAACTTAATTTTTCGCTTGAAAAGAAGACTCAATCATAATGTGTTTATTGTGTTTGGGTTTGTTTATCATTTGAGTAAAGTATAAAGTGAATGTCAGAATTTAATTTTTGTCAGAATTTTTTCGTCAAATTGTTTTGAATTAGCACAAACAGCTTTTTTAGTAATCATAATGGTTTAGCGAAAAGTCTAATTGAAAATAAATTACAAACCTGTAGATAAGAGTCTTAAGTAAATTAGAAAGCCTCCTTTTAGCATGTATAACTAAGATAAACCAAGTTTTTCATTATGGTGCGTGTGTTAATTGCAGGATTAACTTTGGTGTGATAAGAGTTAAGATAAGGAATTCGTACAGCATTAGATTTAATAGTGAAATGACTAAGTGTTAAAATGTACTGTATTAAACTGGAAATAGGAGTTATATTGTTGTCGATTTATATTGTTTAGTAGTGAAATGACTAAGTGTTAATAAGTACGGTGTTAAATTGTATGTCATTAAATTGTAGGACACCCTTAGAAATCATCAATGATTCTAGTATTTTTAAATAAATTCTAAATATACAACTGAAAGCTTGATTGTCGCAGCTTAAATTTAGGAATAAAACATAGCCCATTGACAGTTGAAAAAGGGCGATAAACGCAAGAAAAAAAACTCCCTTGCTGTTTGCAATAACTTATCTTTCGAATTTTAAAAGAAACAAGACTGCTCGTATCAGGGCAAAGCCCTGAATGTTCCGACTGCCTTTTAAGGTTTATTGAGCAGCAGTAACAGCATAAAAAAATTAAATGTAATAAGATAAAATGAAATTTTTTTTTCTAAAATTTGAAATTTTTTATGGAAATCATCCCCCCACACGCCATATAGAGTACAAAAAGAGAGATTTCGTTCCTTGTAACAAATCAATTATGGCAAATAAGCTTCGTTCAACCAATTTAGAACGATTTATAAGACGGATTAAATCTCCTCTTACGCGTTAATAGCGCGAATCATATCGCGCATTAATTGTCCCAAATTGCTCAAAATGGCCAAAATGGCAATATTTAAACCCTCATAACTCTACGAAAAACGATCACAGGTGAAATATCTTTTCAAATTTAAGCTCAGGACAACAATACTTTTTGAATGGTATAAAAAAATTCCGTCAAAAATGGCTAGTTAAAAAGTCGAAATTTGTCTGAAGAAAAAAAACCCACCCCGAGCACAAATATTCCGTTACTTTTGTATCGAAAGTCGGAACAAAAAGATGCCCTTAAAGCTCTTTGAATTTCAAGAACAATTTGTGATGGATGCTTTTTCGCTAAAATTATTCCAATCTGAGACAACTGGATCAATAAGTAAACTTTTAATTCGCTGGGAAATTTAAAATCCACTTTAGAAATCAATAACGTTTTTTGTGACCTTCAAATAAAATAAACTTTAAAAAAATCAAAAATCAAACCGCAAAAAACCAAAAATAAGCGTCAAAAAATTTTAAGGCTTTTTCCTGAAAAAAAAAACAAAAAATCATCACGAAATATATAAGCTCATTACTGTTGAAAAATTCGATCAATAAACTTCCATGGATGGCTCCCTTTGTATTCATCTTTCAACGTAAATGAATGCCTCGATTCCAGAGCGAATTAAACATATTTAAGTAAGCCATAAACTCCAAATTAACTAAACTCTAGTTACAATTTCAGGCAGCAACAGAAACTTCGCTTTGTAGACTTCATTCGAACAGCTGGTAAGAAAAACCAAAATTTGATTTAATTTTAGCAGTAGTGGATTTGCGGGCGGGGGGAGGGGGTTACTGACATTCTCTTCAGGGATTTGAAGCTCCCCTTGTAAACTTTTAACAGCTTTGAACCCCTCACCGCCCAAAGGACCCCCTTTGATTCAACTGTACGACATCCATTTGGAGCTGACCGACCCTTAAAAGTTTTCTTAGGGCGCCTTCGGCGATAGTATACTATTTTTGAGGGGAGAGCGTGAGCCAAAAAAAATACGATTTTATTTTACTCAAAACTTTTCGAAAAGTGCCTGAAAACGTTGTTTTTGGCTTGTTTGTTCAAGAATTTACCTGCGGCGCACAAAGTTTTTGCAAAAAGGAATTTATAATGACTTGGAAAGGCTCAATTTGGAAAATCATTTTATCGACTCAATTTGGAAAGTTTCTACTTTTTTTTGAAAAACCGCTCACTTCCCCTCAAGAAAATTTTAGATCCGCGCCTGATTTTGGCGGATTTCAGAATAATTTTACGCTTTAGTGGTAGGCATTAATTTCGTGAACGTCAGATCGTGTAATCGATCTCTGCCATGGCAATTATAGCGTGCTAGAACTGTGCAGCCGTGGCTGAGTGGGTAAGATGCGTGGTCTACAACACAAGGGCCGTGGGAGCGAATAGCGCTTCAGTCACGGTTGGAGGGGTCCCAGTGTCATGCGCTTCCTCAAGGTGGGTCTGGCTGCAGCAAAATTGATGACATGTCTCTTCTCCCGCGGAAATAAGGCCTAAGGTTGAAATTTTGGAGCGGGGTCGGGGGCTAATAACAAAGGACGAGCTCTCAAGAGCTTCAGGTCTACCACAGCATTACCGATTTCGGCTGCAACAATGATACCACGTGAAAGTGGTAGACGACCTGAAAAAATCGACTTTGAGTCGCAATAAAAATAGCTACGTTCAACAAAATAACAGTCTGGAATGTGGGAAGAAAACAAACAGACTACGATAAACACACAGAAACCACAATTATTATTATTATAGCTATATGAATCTTACATCGTCCAAAGCCTGCGATAACTTGGAAGCCATCTGCTGAAGTGACAACTGGTAATCTGCCATGGCTAGGAATGCGTCTCTGAGAGTCTTCTCTGGTTTATAGTGGGCTGCACTGGCCTTCCTCTGTTTCACACCTGCGAATCCGTCTATGGGAGAGAGGCCTATTGTGTTTGTGCATACTGGCAGGTGGGTGACTCTGCTGGGTCGAACTTGTGCATGCCAGTCTATGAAACCTTCTACCCTGCAGAACATATGAAATAAGAGATCATTCCGTCATTTTGCAGTCTTTGTCTAGCTGTTTGCGTAGCCCATAGGTCAACAAAACTGAGCGTAGTATTTAAAATAGAACAAAAAAACGGTTATTTTGGACGTTACAAACCAATTTCTCGTTACAAACCAATTTCAAAACCTAAAATAGTGCTAAAAATCTTATTAAGTAAAAACTACTAGTTTTGACTGATAAAAATGCCCCATCTTTTGCCCTTAATTCTACATTTTTCATTTATATAAACGACTGCTTACACCTTTCGGATAAACTTGAATTTGAAATATGATTCCCTTGCCATTTTAAGATTTTGTCAAAAAGAAAAACTTCCATCAGAATCTCCACCTGTATTTGAAGACTGAAGGCTGTATGAGGGAACTAGCAGTGGATACTGAATTATGGGGCCACGTCTCACAGTCTTCCTCTGTCATCAGAATACTCTGGACTGGAACGAAAGTTAACCAAGTAATGCAGACAAAATATGCTAGAATACCCAAACAACAATATTAAAATAGGTTTGAAATTAGAGTTAGGTTCTCATTAAACATTCGGGCATTATTCAGTCACAATTGATTTCGAAGTGTAATTTCCAAAAAAACAAGAGCACAGAAAAGAGTCATAATTTACTCACACATAACATCGGCAGTGGGAGTTGTTGGTGTGAACATGATTGAGAGGTCGTGCAGCTTAGGCACAGACTGCACTTGTTCACGTTTCAGATTATCCTGATCATTCCTCCCCATTCCTGTTTCGTCACTTCTGTCAGTCGTAGCATTGTTCACACCACCTGGGATGATTTGTACTTAGATCACATTTTGGACAATTTACAATAGCGAGAAAAACATCAAGGTTTACGCAGAGGTGGAGCGAAGCTTCGCATCACTTTCTATGCAAAGCAAGCTTAGCATTTCAAACTAGCAAACAAAAAATGAGACGAAAAAAAAAGTCGAAAAAAATAGTCAATAAATAACGAAAACTTTTTTGACGTAAATCAAAAACTCTCTTTCAGAATAAAAACAATTGAGAAAGACATTTAACAGCATTAAAAAACTTTTTATTTATTACCGAGCAGCCCCTAGGCTGACAAAACGTGGGTAGGCGTCCAGTGAGCCAAAGACAAAAAATGCCATCTAATTGTCGTTACAAATTTTGAGCGAATCTTAAGCTTCGAAACTTATAACTTAAGAAGAGTAGCAGCACCATATTCGTTGTTTACTTTTTCTCACCAATTGCGAAGCGAAATCTAATTTCAAAAACGTAAGACTTGAGACGCCGTTTTACAATATCGAGAGTAAACTTTCAAAATACATTTTTAAGACATTCAGAGAAAACTTCAAAAATCAAGAAAGCATAACTTGGACTAATCGAAAAATTTCAATATCATTCAAGAACTACAGGTTGTATCACCTTAAATAAAAAATTTTACCTGGCTCTCATTTACTTAAAACCAACCAATTTATATGATTTTTTTAAGTAGGCAGTGCTGAGAAAATAAATGTTTTGCTACTATGAGTTTTCAGAAATTAAGAAATACTTTGATATCGCTTTTAAAACTCTGATATAACTAACTTGCTTAGTGAGCCATTGAGACAACACAGACGCTTTGTCGAATGTGGAGATTTCGAGGAAAAGGATTCAGAAAGAACAGAAAAATTGATCCGATTGCTCAACAAGATTTAAAAACAATATTTTACTTTTCGTACTGTATTTTTTAGTAACCGCTTGTATAAGTTTTTCTTTTCAGTTTTAATTAAACGAGGATTTTTAATCCAGTTTTCAGAGGAAACTTCAGTTCAGCTTTCAAAAAATACAATCGAGCCGTCCTTTATCTCGTCTCAAATGCTGATGAGTGCGATGATAATTTCTGAACCAACTGAACCATCTCATCACAAAAACTGATGAGTGCGATGATAATTTCTGAACCATCTCATCTCAAATACTGATGAGTGACTTCGCTGCCATTTCAAACTGAACCATCTCATCTCAAATACTGATGATGATGTCCTAACCATAACTGAACCATCTCATCTCATTACTGATGAGTGACCTGCCCTCATTTCAAACATGAACTGCCATTTCAAACCCTGAACAGCCATTTCAAACCCTGAACAACCATTTCAAACCGCATAAATAACCAATATTTTAAGATTGGTTTGTGGACTCTGCTGACAAATGGATAAGTCCTTTTGCCTTCAAATTCCTATAGATAATAAATCAAATATTCCCTCTAGCTTTTAATTGTTCATATGCAAGTTCAGTAATAAACAAAAAGGCGGAATCCACTTACAAATTGCGGAATCCACTTACAGTTGCAGAATCTAGAACAACTAGCTATATTTGCTTGTTGCGGAATCTGCAACAAAACAAATGTTCCGACAAAATTTACGTTACAGGTATATGTATGCGGAATCCACACTGAAATTTTGTTTGTGGAATCCACTTACATTTTGGAACATATTTTAAGACTTGTCTCTGGAATCCAGGAACATACAGACACAAAATTATGCTCCTATCCAGTGCACAGTTTGGCCTCATAAGGCATGTGTTTTCAAAAAATAAGAAATACTTTGATATCGGGTTTAAAACTCCGATATAACTAACTTGCTCAACAATTGTAATTTTATGTTAATTTTTGATTGAATAAAAGGAGCCAACTAATACTTATTTTGTTTTAACATTTCAAACTCAAACTTTGAAAATTTTTTGTGCATCAGTTTTTCTTCTAAAATCAACGCGTTTATATTTCCATTTTTTTGTTTGAATAGTTCAAATCAACATGTGCGGATTCAAAAGCGTATTAACTGTATTCTTTTTCTACAGCATAGAAAACAGCTTCCGCAGCAATTCGCAAAGAACATTTTTGGCATCCTCAGCATAACTTGTTTTCGCCCATATGCATTTAAACTATGATAACCTTTGGAAACATAGAAAACAGATAGTAGGAAAAGAGTCATGAACGCAAGGAAACGAAAAAATGACTTGTTTTTTGAACAAAACTTTAAATTTTGAAATTCAAAGAAAAAGCGTATTGTTTTAAAGCTCTCAATGCCTTTATGACTGACACTTTTTGAAAACATTAACTCAATTTGAGAAAGCTGGATCAATCGATAAAGTTTATATTCTGCTGAAAAACCTGAAAAATAAAATCCAAGTTCGCAATCGACCACGTTTTTTTGAATTTTAGCTTTTTATGTTCGATAGTTTGTCTACCTTTTAACAAAGAAATGAAGTGAACTTCAAAAGAAATCAAAAATCAAATGGCGAAAAATTAACTGCGAGAGTGAACAAAATTTAAAGATTTTTTTCCTGAAAAAAAAAATATATATCACCAAGGCCTATATAAGAGTTTTTCACCACGTTCATGATTCTTAAAAGCCTTCTCATTATCCCACATAGGTATCTTGATTAAGTCTGTATCACTGAACAGGCAACTAATATTAGACATTTTAAAACTTACTTTTAATTTGGGAAACGCTGTATATTCGATTATTTATGAGATTGACTTGCAACAACACATAAGCCCATAAGTCCTTCCCTATTTTAGATTATTTAATTTGTACGGCAAGATTTTTAAACCAAAAACCTTGTTTAAAAAAGGCGTTAAAAGTCAAGATGGCATTTAAATAGTTGACAGGCAACAGCTCTGGAACATAATTTTCAAAATTCTTATGAACTGCATCAATTCGCGGAAAATTTTGTTTTGTGGATTAATTTTACAGCCATACATAATCATGGAAAAACAAAAACCTTCACGTTTCGATTAAAGATTTTTAAAAGGATTTAAAATGAAAACAAACTTCTAATTATTCCATTTGTGAAGTCACTTTCCATTGAAAGAAAAATCTCAAATCAGGCATAAAACCATTTTACTTTTGTTTCTAACCTGATGATTTTTTCTTTTTCCTAGAGAGTGAAGCTTCTAGCTCACAATACTTGGTCAATTCATAAGTCATTTGCGTCCAGACTTCGCCTCTAGAAGCCCAGAAGTTGTATGTTGCTGGCTCGGGTTTCGAAGGTTCCCTAGATCAAATCGACTTTTAAGATTGATTTAATTGTTAGGGATTTAGAGAGAACAGTATTTTCATTAAATTTATCGTTTTATGAATACACCTCGAAGTGTTTCCCATTACATTTTTCTACTGGAAAGTTTCACACAGATGCGATGCTCCGATCTACAGCTTTATGAATCTCACGCACACGCTGAAAACATCCCAAACACTAGGCACAAATAAAGCAGAGAACATGCTATGAAATTTCCAATGAGATCGTGATTATAGCAAAAGTGCCACTAATTAAGTGGACACTTTCCACTTCCACTTTTTTGTTTCCGAGTTAGGTTAGAAAAAAAGAAGGTTCGTAGTAATACACAACACTAATGGCTAGTGTAAATATTAAAACAAGGACATCCGGTTACTGCGCAATTTGCACAGAATGTTCCGAGCATAGTCTTAAAAAAATACCAAAAAAAGTTTTTTTTTGAACGAAAAACTAGAAATTAGGCATACTCGACGTTCATAATAAAATAGGCAAATTGGAAAACAATTTTTGTAGAAAAATTACTAGAACAACGAAAAAAAATTGTAAAAATAAAAAAAATCAAAAACTTGATTACAAAAACTTGAGTTTTTTATTACCACGATGGCGCAAAAAACTCAAAAAAACGAACTTTAATTGAGTAAGTCTAAGTTTTTTGGCTTAAATTAAGCATAATATGACATTGTGAGCTGGCTCCATTCACCTTATTCTCTCGAAACTAGACCAAAAACCATAAATTATACCAAAAATCAATATTTTCTCAAATTGCTCGAATCACAACTGAAAAGACTTTAATATGATATATCACTCGACCCATTTCGATGCTATTTATGATATATGATTTTGCGTGGAAAGTAAAAAAAAAAGAAGAAACGTCGCCACTAAAGCAGATCTCAGAGAGCTTCCAAAAAGAAAATAGTATAAAAAGAACTTAATGTCAACTAACCCGTTATTGCATTTGCCCACAGACCCTGAAGGACACTTGGGGTCATCAACTCCTCCCACAGCCTTATCACCCACTAGTTTCTCGTCGAAGTCTGTCGACGGCGAATCCTTATTTAATTGCCTCGATGTCCTCTCGGAACTGCCTTTCGACTCCGAGATATCTTCTTCCGCTTCTATTGCATGGTGTTCGTCTTCTTCGTCGTCGAAATCCTCGTCAAAATCGTGATCTTGAGAAAGTTCCGATGATGACGTAATGACTCGAGGAGGAAGTTCAGGTGACGCTTTAGCTCTTTCTTGGTAGAAAATTGTCATCTACAACAAAAAGAACGCCGATTTGAAATTATTGCCGATTTGAAATGAAAAGTAAACTTCTGCTTTCTTGGCAACCATGCTGAATTTACGTAGGTTTCATCAGCTCAGTCGAAAAAATGATGGTCGGAGGGTTCTCATGAGACAGGCTTGTTGCCAATTCACAACAGAGGCAACAGTTCTCAGCACAGAGAATAACCAAAAAATGCATGTAATTCTTGAGCAGTGGCACATCAGCGGTTCTCTGCAATGAAAAGAACACCTCGTATGATGGTCTTTTCTCTCGAGGATACACAAGTTTAACTAGTTTTTCTGGGCTCTTTTTTATTTACTCCTAACCTGCATCTTTCAAAGTACAAAATTTGTTCACCAGTCCGATTGTTATGAAAAATATCAGGGCTCAATGCCTAGAATAACACGAGTGCAATATTAATTTAGATTTCCTTTTTTTATCCTCCTTGTAACAAAAATAATCCAAAATTCGGTTCTTTCAGAGTTTTCGCACTGAAAGATGCGTCCAAAGTAGACTCATTGTTCCGACCATTGAAAATGGTGAGGAACTTTGTATTCGGGTCTGTATCACAAACAATAATAGGACTGGGTTTAGTGATATATCATATAAAAGCCCTTACAGTCGTGATGGTAATCGAATCGCATAAGAAAGCTATGGAACGTTGAAATATTTCAATTTATTTCATAGACCGAATCGGTTCCCAAAAAGTCTAAATGTTTCTAAACAAGGTTTAAAGCTATGATTATTCAAAAAATGTCTAGTTATTTCATAGATTGAATCAGTTCGCCAAAAGTTTGAGTTTTCATAAGCAAGCTTTTAAAGCTATGAAACTTTGAACTGTTACAAGTTTGTTCATCGACAGAATCGGTTCGCAAAAAGCGTACGTTTTTTGAAGCACTCTAGTCAAGCTATGGAACTCTGAAATTTCATGGACAGAATAGTTTCGCGACAAGTTTCAAGTTTTTCTCAGCACGCTTCTAAAGCTATGAAAATTTGAAATATTTCAAGTTATTTCATAGACTGAATCCGTTCTCTGAAAATTTTTCTGAGCAAGCTTTTCAAGCTATGAAAAGTTGAATTATTTCCATTTATTTCATAGACCGAATCGGTTCGCAAAAAGTTTCTTTCTTAGCATGGAGATTGCTGTTTTTAAGTGATTTCTTTTACTGAACTTTTGACAGTCTCAGTTCCAGACAGAAAAAAATATTTGGAAAAAAAATAGACAAGTACTGTCTAGCCTTGAAGTTGGATCGAGTTCATCTTCTTCTGATGATTGCTCTGAATGCTTTTTAAATGTTACGCTCGGTGGCTTTTTAAACATTGTCTCCTAATAAGTCTTATGCATTGTGTTCAGTTAACATTGCGTCCATAGCGCATTTCGACTTTCACTTAATATATAAGAAAAATAAGTTATTCAGAAACTTCGACCTTGACTGCTGGATTAATGTTACAGCGCTCCACAGACTGAGCTAGCAGGGCTCTACCTCCCGACCGAGTTCATAGCTTCCAAACTCAAAAACGCTATCGGGCCAGACTTATTTAGATTGTATTTTTTTCACTTTGAACAAAAAATCATGCTTCAGTTTTCGCCCCACAATTGACTCGTACACGTGATTTGCTGAATTAACAGCCCAATTCTCCGCCGACTCAGCGAGATCAAAATAAACTGTTAAATTAAAAAAAAAAACTAGTTAAATTTTTTATACTTCTTTTGACAAAAAAAAGTAAATTTCTGGTTTTTCATAACTTCGAAGCTCAAAAAAGCTTCCGAGCTAGGCTTATTTAGTTTGTGTTTGATTCGTTTTAAAAAACACAATTCTATATTCTACTACAATTTTAAAAAAAAATGAAAAACTTATTCTAAATTCTTCGCCCTTCAAGGGACTACAACACTTGACCCTTGGATAAAAATTCCAACTCTCTACCGACTGATCTAGCAGGGCTCTATTTCATTGCCTAGTTCTTGGCTTTGAAACTCAAAAGCGCTTTCGAGCTAGACTTAATTTGATTGTGTTTTTTTTCAGTTTCTACAAAAAAAAATTAAAAATCGACAAAAATTGAAAAACTTTTTAAAAAATCTTCGCCTACAACGGACTCGAACCCTTGATCGTTGGATTAGAAGCCCCAATCTCTATTGACTTCGAATAAGTAAAGTTCGAAAACGATTTCGAACTAGACTAATTTAGATTTTGTTTTTTTTTTCACTTTCTGTATAAAAATTTATGCTTCAAACAAAGATTGAAAATTTTAATCTAGAAGCTTCGCCCATAACGAACTCGAAGCCAATTCTACAAATCTCCTTCAAATAAAAATATAAACGTATTCGAAAATATTCGCCCCACGATAGACTAAAACCTTTGACCGTTGGATTAACAGTTCAATGCTCCACCGACTCAGCGAGATCAAAATAAATTTCCATTACTTTTTTGTACTTCTTTTGTTAAACAAGAAAAACTTCTGGTTTTTCATAGTTTCCAAGTTCAACAACGCTTCCAAGCTCGATTTAATCAGATTGTGTTTGTTTCACGCTTGACCGTTGTATTCAAAGCCCAACTCTCTGCCGACTCAGCGAGTTTAAAACAAATTTCCATCTGTCTATTTGTCTTCCTTGTGACAAACAATTTTTGGTTTTTCAAAGCTTCGAAAATCAGAAACGCTTCCAAGCTTATTTAGACTTATTTAGATTTATTTTGTTTCACTTTTGATCAGAAACAATTAAGGTTCGACAAAAATGACGAATTTAATCAGAAGATTTCACCCCACAAGGAACACAAACGCTTGAATATTACAACACTCTACAGACTGAGCTATTGAACTCAAAAACGATTTCGAGCTAGACTTATTTAGAGAGTGTGTGTGTTTTTTTTTAACTTTTACAAAAAATGAAATTTCGAACAAAAACTAAAAAATTTAGTTCAGAAACTTTACCATCAACGGACTCGAACCCTTGATTGTTGGATTAAAAGCCCAACTCTCTGCTGACTCGGCAAGCTCAAAACAACTTCCCAGTATTTATTTAGTTTTTTCTTGTGACAAACAAGGCAAATTTCTAGTTTTTCATAGCTTCCAAGCTGAAAATCGCTTTCGAGCTAGACTTAGTTAGATTGTGTTTGTTTCGCTTTTTACAAAAAACAAGTCTAAAAATCTAGTTCAGATAAAAACAGAAGAAGCAATTCTGCAACCTTCGCCCCAAAAGGGCCTCGTACCTTTGCCAGTTGGATTATAAAACCAACGCTCTACCGGCTGAGCTCGCAGGGCTCCACTGAAAACCCGAGTTTATAGCTTCTAAACTCAAAGACGCTTTCGAGCTAGACTGATTTGGATTTAGTTGTTTTTTCAAACTTTACAAGAACAAATAAAAATTCGAACAAAAAATCACAAAAGTATTTTAAAATCTTCACCCACAACGGACTCGAACCCTTGATTGTTGCATTAAAAGCTCAACTCTCTACTGATTCGGCGAGTTCAAAACAACTTTCCAGTAGTTTTTTCGTCATTTTGTGACAAACAAGGCATATTTCTAGTTTTTCATAGCTTACAAGCTGAAAATCATTTTCGAGCTAGACTTAATTAGATTGTGTTTGTTTCACTTTTTCCAAAAATGAGTTCTACAGTTCTAGTTCAAACAAAATTTGAAAAAGAAACTCAGAAATCATCTCCTCACAAGTGACTCGAAACCTTGACTGTTGAATTAAAAGTCCAACTCTCTACCGACTGAACTAGCAGGGCTCTACTTCATTCCCGAGTTTCTAGCTTTTCAACTCAAAAACGCTTTCGAGCTACACTTATTTAGATTGTTTTTTTTTCAGTTTTTACAGAAAATAAAATGCCGAACAAAAACTAAAAAACATAATTTGAAATCTTCAGCCACAACGGATTCGAACCCTTGATTGTTGGATTAAATGCCCAACTCTCTACTGAATTGGCAAGCTCAAAACAACTTCCTAGTATTTAATTTGTATTTTTTGTGACAATTAAGGCAAATTTCTGGTTTTTCATAGCTTCCAAGCTGAAAATCGTTTTCGAGCTAGACTTTATTAGATTGTGTTTGTTTCACTTTTAACAAAAATGAATTCTACAGTTCTAATTCAAATAAAATTTGAAAAAAAACTCAAATCATCTCCCCACAAGTGATTCGAACCCTTGACCGTTGGATTGAATTCCCAACGCTCTACCGACTGCGCTAGCAAGGCTCTACTTCGTTCCCGAGTTTATAGTTTTTAAACTCAAAAACGATTTCGAGCTAGACTTATTTAGAGTGTGTGTGTGTTTTTTTTTAATTTTTACAAAAAATGAAATTTCGAACAAAAACTAAAAAAATTTAGTTCAAAATCTTTACCCACAAGCTCAAAACAACTTCCCAGTATTTATTTTATTTTTTTTTGGGACAAACAAGGCAAACTTCTGGTTTTTCATAGCTTCCAAGCTGAAAATCGTTTTCGAGCTAGACTTAATTGAATTGTGTTTGTTTCACTTTTTACAAAAACTTATTCTACAGTTCTATTTCAAATAAAATTTGAAAAAGAAATTCTGCAATCATCGCCCCACAAGGGACTCGAACCCTTGACCGTTGGATTAAAAGTCCAACGCTCTACCGACTGAGCTAGCAAGGCTCTGTTCAATCCCTGAGCTTATAGATTTTAAACTCAAAAAAGCTTTCGAGCTAGACTTATTAAGATTGTGTTTTTTTTCAGTTTTTACAAAAAAAAAACTTTCGAACAAAAATTAAAAAATTTATTTTAAAATATTCACTCACAACGGACTCGGATCCTTGATTGTTGGATTAAAAGCCCAACTATCTACTGACTCGGCAAGCTTAAAACAACTTCCCAGAAATTATTATTATTTTTTTTGTGACAAACAAGGCAAATTTCTGGTTTTTCATAGCTTCCAAGCTCAAAAACGCTTTCGAGCTAGACTTAGTTAGATTGTGTTTGTTTCCCTTTTTACAAAACACAACTCTAAGAGTCTAGTTCAAATTCAAATAAAA